AAACAACAAACAAGAAACAACAGACAACAAACGACAAAACAAGAACAAACAACAAAGAGCAAACAACAAACAACAAACAACAACAGGACAATGATGGGAGAACACCAGGACAAGCTGCAAGAAGAAACAAAGACCCTTCCAAGGCACAATACGCAGCCTTATATAATGCGTTAGATGGAGTGTGCTGTGGTCAGCTTGCCTGCAATTGTGTGCTCGGAGGGCTTTGCGTTGCTGCTTGGTGGTAGAACTTGTTGGATGCCGATTCACGTGGTTGTGTGGTGATGTTGGCAGGGCTGCTGGTGCTTTCTGCTTGCTGCGTTGCTTCTTTCTGCATTGTTGTTTTTCCGCCTTGCTGCTCGCCGCTTCTTGCTTGCTGCTTATTGTATTGCAAAAGACATGCCCTCACCTTATCCGCTTGGACAGAAGTTCGTCTGAATCAGTCGTGTTTTGGGAGAATGTAGTTGGCTCTAAACAAAACTTTCAATTGGTACCAGTACATTTGAGGAGCCACTTCTTTGTTGATGCATGCTGCTGGGTTTTGTCTTATGACTGACGTGTAGCTGACACCACATCCTTGCCTCATCCACATCCGTCATGGCCATTGCATGCTCCTGTGGCACGATTACCACCTGGCATGGACACCGGCACTAGGTCCAAGGAATGCTCCCGCCGTAGACAACAAAACCACAAGCAGGCTAGGTTGGACGCAATCGCTACAGCAGCACTTGGCAGCTGCGTAGTAGGCCCACCATGTAAGCAGAATGCAAAATCCGCAGTAAACCACGAGATGTTGCCAGGGAAGATAATCCATGGTTTTGATGTTGCACACATTGCACCGGGTGACTGACAACCTGCTGCCCCTGCCTGGCCAGGCACGACGCAGCGGTTCTGCGCCTCGACACATAGGTACCTGGACACATGAAGCTCAATCCGGAACGCAGAACTTGCCCCCACAACAATTCTAGGACTGGCACGCATGCGGGGACACAGACATGATCGCGCCCTTGCGAAAGAACTTCTTGCCTCAATGGATCATCTGGACTCTGGCATCTTTTCACCAAAGAAGGCCGTGAGCAACCGCATTGCGAAGCTCAGGCACCGGCTATCCATACAAAAAGCGCATCTCTCCAGGTTTACCTGTCGAGGATGCTAGCCTACCAGCGGTCTAAACCAACGTTTGATGGGGAGAATGGGGATCCCCAAATCTACCCGTATCAAGTGTCTTCACGGCCAAAGCCCTCTTTGCTGTCACATCATGATGTAACCCGCCAGAGCCTGGACTCGGTTTTTGTCATTCTTCTCCTGCTGCAAGCGCTTCTCTGCACCTTTCCTGCAGAAAAGTGAAGCAAAGCAGTACCATCTCTCTGCCGGTTCCATCTCTGTCATGGGGCACCTCTCATCCATTTTCTTGTCTTTGTTCTCGTACCAGCCCAAAGCATAAGCCTGGTCACATGCGCATATGTGTGCTTGCTGCTTTTGAGTGAACTCATCACCGAAAACCGCTGATTGCTCCACGGAAAAATGAAGGGACCCAACAGCTGCCCCAGGCTCTGTCAGCTACCTCTTTTGAGGCACGCCTCAACTCCTTCTTAGGTCAATAGAAATGTGAAAACTACCATAGATCACCACACGCATATCTTAATTGGCAGGAAGAAACTGACCCGACATTCATGCTGTTGGCGGCATCAGGCAAATGCAAGAACAAAGGGCTGTGCCTCATCCTCATCCTCGTCCAGCATCTTGAACTTGTCGCCTCTCTTCAAGATGTGCTTCCCAAAGTTGGAATCATAGTCCTCACCGGCATCTCATCAGAAACATCCGGCTACAGCAAAGCGCAAGCTGGTCCTGCACCCCTTCCACGCGCTCGCGCCGCAGTAGCTCGGTTAAGGATACATTATCATCCTCGTAGTAACCTGCACGGGAAAAATGTCACAGGCAATTTACACTTTTCAACTTGACGGGCGCTGCCCTCGCCTTGCGAGCCCTTTTTGTCCTTGCCAGCAGGCACTGCATTGGCATTGCCTGCGTCACTGTAGGAGCCAAAACTCAAATCGTCGTCTGGAGCTTCTGCAGTGCCCTCGCGCGCATCTCACTATGGCACTGTCTCACCGTGGCCTCGCTTGTTGCGTCCCTTCGTGTGGACTGAAGTCGATTGCACCTCGGCTTGGGTCGTCTAATTCTTTGGGGGGTTGTTTCAGCGGACCATTCAAACAGGGTCCCCCTTCTTGAAAGACCCTCCCCATCATAAGGTCGTGGCCGTTCCCAGTAGCTTCTTGCTTCGTCCAGCCGCATCTACCTCTTCCAAAACCTGCCAAGTAGCCAACTCTGTGGAATCCAAATTGAAACGAAAAGAAGGCCGGAAGGCAACTGACATCTTTTTTGAGACCACACCAAACTTTGACGCAGGTGCTAAGCTCTTGATCTCCTGACGCGACAAGGCTTGCCTTCACATTCTGCTCGGGATCTGGAGGAGGAAGCGTGAAGGCGTTGCCCTTCTCTCCTCGAGCCAAGCGCGGTCTGTAAGTGTCAAGAGACGGCAAGGTGACGTCCCGTGGGACGCTGTTCACCGAACCCTCCAGCTGTGTGTACCCAACCACGTAGAAAGGTGTATACGGTCAAACCGTTATAGCCGAACCCGTGTAAACTGTTGTAAGGAATAGGGACCAATAACCACGATGGTAATCCTGACAGTTGCAGCGCGAATGAAGTATTTTCCACTCTCTATGGTCGATCACGCGCAAACGTAGTTCATGCAAGACCTTGAGCCCTACTTGTGACTTGAGCCAAATGGCAGTCAATGGAACATTGTAACCAACAATAACACAGACCTCAGAACAGCTTCCCAATTTAGGCACGGGGCCAGGAGGGTTTTAACATCCCCCGTTTGGGTCGCATCGTTCATCATGCGGTCCAAACATCACAACACGTTCCACTGGCCACGGCTCCGACTACGAAACTGTGTCGAACACTCTTTCATTCATCATTGCTACGCCGTCCATTCATTGTGAAACTTGCCAGGTTCAATCAAGTTAGAAACATGCATCCGCAAATCGTAGCACATTCCTACACACAGAGGCAAGAGGCATTCTGCCTCGTACCATCACGCAACCATCGGAAATCCCGGCTGCCGCATTTGCGCATCGCGCAGCCGTCATCCATGGAAATGGGTTGGCCATAGAAATCCATAGCAGCGCATGGCCATAAGCCTTCTGAATACCATCGGCAAAGAAGATTTGGCGAGCAAAATATGCAAAAATAGCCATTCCAGATACCACGAATAATATATAAGGAAAAGAAATCATCCATGAGGTAATAGTGCACATCCATGAATATCCGGAATGTCATAGCCGTCGGAATATGTAAATACATACACATTCATTCACCTTGGACGCATGAAATTAAATCATGTCAAAGAAATGTTCCATCGTAACAGATCGATGAGACGCAAGCGATGGATGGGGACTAGCCCACATCATGCCGCAATCTTCATTGAAGTGAATTCTGTATGCTGCTGTTGATGGCTGGGTCTGGCCCATACCATACCGCATAAGCAATGAAAACCCACATCTGCATCACGTAGGTCGGTCCACAATGGACAACCTGTTGATGCGACGACGGAACTCCTCGTCCAAGTGTTGTTGTGCATCTCGTGCCCGGACGCATTTCCTGTGATGCTCTTCTGGTAGCCAGTGCCCCTTTCGGAGACACCAATCCAGCAGGGGTGCGTCGCATTTGTTCGGGTCAGTGGCCGCAATGATGGCGCTCACGTTGACCGAATAACCATATCTGCCAAGGTTCAAGGCTGACCTCGTGAATGATATATATTTGCAGTTGAAAGCCAGGGAAAAGCATCTGTAAACAATATCACCCACCGGGTGTATGCGATCCTTGACCAGGAGCTTCATCTCGTCTTTGGTGATGTCGAGGATCTTCGCTGCAATCCACAGTTTCTAGAATATGCATAGCCCCTCGCATTTGGACACCAAATAACGGATGTGTTGGTTGCGCTCCTCTATCGTCCGGAAGGTCCTTGCTCGGACGTTCTGAGATTGGGTAACCTTTTGCTCCGTTGATGGCATAAGGATCCCTTCATGGTCAATCTCAGTCATGTTGGGGTACTTCCCAAAATCGTTGTGGTGTGGGCAAGAGATGGTCCCTTCGAGAGCGGCATCGATCGTTCTCTTTTCCCCACCCTTGAACATTCCCCACATCTTTGACATCTGCAGTGCGATGAATCCCGCCATGTATTGAGCCTCTCGTGGCTCGCCCATGCAGATCGCCATCCGCTGGGAATTAATGATAACCCGCGATGCCATGTCATTGTCGCGGTACTCCCAACCACAGTCTTCCTCTTCAGACCTGTAACCAGATGTGTATCCTTGCGTGTCCATGTCATCATCTTCGGATTCGTTTTCCGTCCCATCTGCTCCGCCGCGTTGTCGATAGCCTCGTCTTGCGCTCGACCTGACACATTGGGTTTATGGTCGTCCCCCTCGTCATCGGAACCAATGTGGATGCAGAATCTCCCGGTAGAGATTAATTGCGCCCCACATTCCAGACATACACAGAAGCACGTAGGAATCGCGGTTGCACATGACGGACAAATTCGGCATCGTAGCCCCTCCCATGTCTCGTCGTTGAGGATGATGGTCTTGCTGATCTCGTCCCTGATCTCGTTGGTCAGAGTATCAAACTCTTCAACTCTGTTTTCCCGAAGCAGTCCGCAGGCACGATCCACCATGCCTTGAACGTAGTGCAGATTGTCGGCACCCGCCTCTGTCTCAGGCATTCCCTCGATGATCTTCGCGACGTTCTGCAAGAACATCGTGGCCGACTCCTGGGAAGAACCAACGAATCCCGGACAGATCTCACTCTCGACGCATTTTGAGTACGCCCGCTTGATGTTCTCGTACTCCAGGCATTTCCCTCCGTTGCTCTTGCCAATCCAAATTGATTTGACCTCATAGAACGGGACCACGTCAAAGACCATGAATGTCCCGTTGAACGCGACTCCAGCTCCGTATCGCGCGAGGGTCGCGCTGGGAATGTAGATGATTGCCAGCGGACCTCCAGTCCTCAAATTGCGTAGCGTCGTCTTCGTTGCTACGTTCATCTCATCCCATGGAGCAAACGCCCCAAAGTGCAATGCCAGCCTGTTTCCGCCATCGATTCCGCCGGGGACTAGCCCACAGCGTACGATGCTTGGTAGGTTCTCCTACGTATGTCACATGGAATGCTCCTCCGAGAGTATCACCCATCCTCGCAGAATACCTATTTGCCAATGCGGATGAGCTCATGAAGCCAAAGTCGCTGTGACCAGTTGTGACTCGGATGCACCAAGGCCTGTACCATCCATCGCATCATCTGTTGAATATTCTTTCGATGTCACCCCGATCCAGGCCAATGTAGTTCAGCTCCTCTTTGGCGGCCTTCATGTCGTTCGGGTTCATGATGCTTGGAAACCTTGCTGCTAGGACCTGGAACCTTGATTTCTTGTGCCCAGATTCCTGCCACTTGATCACTTCCATGATGCCCATGTATCGTTTTGCCCTCGAGGTCGTCGGTGGAAATATGTCGTTATTCCGGTCGTTGATGACTGCGTCAATGTCAACCCATCCACCTTCATCACACCTGAAAGCACTTCCTCGGCAATTGCCGATCTTGTGTCGAAGGACTCTGCACAGATCATGAGATAGCTGATTTGCTTGATCTCTCGATGCAAACACTGAGCGTTCGTCGCCGATCTTGCAGTGCGGAGCGCCGTCGAAGGGAGCGATGCAGAAATTGATACTCTTACCGAGCTGTATCACATCGACTTGCTCCAGAACGGCACCCTTGGGGAAGAACCTGGGATCTACCATAGACGTATATGCCCATGGCATTTGCACGCTGCTCACGTCGCCAAACTTCGGGACGTAGCACGGAATAGTGTCACATCCCCGCTCTAGCGCTGCCTTGAACGTCCTGTGATCCCCGCACGGGTTGTAGGTGAGATCCACGCCACCACATTGTAGCTCTCCCCCTTCAGCCGTGTCAGCCATCTCCACCAGATTGATGGTATAGCTATACATTTCCATTGTTTCTTTCCCCTTCTGTCCCCCTTCTTGCGTTCCTTGGATGTCGATGATGACGGTTCTTCAGCATCCCCCATTTCTTCATCCGAGGAAACGTGTTCGCTGCTGAGAAGCTCGCGGATCTTCTTCATCGCCTTCTCGTTTCCAGCAGCCTCCTCATTCTTCTTGCAGTCGCCGTCGTGGGCCAGGTTCGCGCACTTTGTACACATTCCCATTTCTCCCATGCACTTCTCCATTGAGTCCAGGAACTTGAGTGCAGCTTTTCGCCCATCAATCACGCACTGCTTCTTCTCCTCTTTCTCCTCATTGGGCTGAGAGCTTCGGCTCCGGTCTGGCTCTGGGCCAAAACCTTCGCCTTCACTCTCAGTTGCCTTCCTCTTGGACCCTTGGTTGGCCTGCTCGGTCACCAGGGATAGCGGATGTCTGGGCTTGATCGAGTTCATGATCTCTCTTGTGGGCACTCCCAGCTGTGCGGACGGCTTGTTCCGCTTTCGGTTCTGGCCCGTCGTGTGGCTCACGTTCCCCGCGAGGTGCCGCACGATGGAATGCTCGAATTCCCTCTTGATCTTCCATGCGTCTCTCCACAATGGAAGTTCGTGCTGAAAGTACGACATCACCTCGAAGAATCCCAATATCATCTCGACGACGTCCCCCAAAGACTCCTCATTTGTAGTCTGTCCCAGGAGCTCATACATCGTCCCCTGATCAAGCACGCTCTTGATCCAAGATGAATAGGCCGAGAGCAGGACGTAAGCAGTCAGGGCGCTGGCGTCCGCCTTGGAGGCCTGCAGCCCCAAGATGGAGGTGTCTTGGCTCGCGAGCTTGGAGGCCAGCGCAGCGGCGGTGACGGCCCCCAGAAGAGCGTTGGCCACCTTGGTGTCGACCTCCAGCGGCGTGATCCTCGCCGCTATGTCTAGGGAGTGCTGGTCCACCACCGTCTTAAGGCCGTAGTTGGCGGCCACCGTGGCCAGCGTGGCGTTGTTGGCCGAGGCGATGGAGCCGTTCATGGCCGCCGTCGACACTTTCTCTGAGGTGGACTCTAAGATAGCGGCAGCCCTCTTGGGCGCAGTCACCACGGCAGCCCTGGACGCTGCCCGAGCGCCGTGATGCTGGCGTCCCGGCTAGCAAGCTGCGCTGCGACGAAGGCCTCGGTGGCGAGACCCAGCAGGGCATTTGCTATCTTGGTGTCTACCTTCAGCGGCGTGTCCAACCCGTCCACCGGAGAGGAGGGAGGCCAGCGCGCTTGCGTCCGCCTTGCCGAGGACCACGCTCCAGAGCGCCCTTGACGCAATTCTTGCGGAGCTCGCCGCCCTGCAGCTTTCCGGCAGCGCGGAGTTGTTAACGCGCCGGCCTGGGCGGGCTTCACGACTTGGGAGCTTGTTCGCGGAAGCAACGTCGTTCGCAACCTGCATTTGGGGGCTCCTCT